AATAAAAGGCGGCCTATTTCTGAATTAAAAAAAAAAAAAGTGCTAAGTCTATGGAGAATCAAGTCATAAGTTTTTTAAACAACCCCAAACATTAAAAAAAATGCACATTTTCGAGAAAATCGTGAATGTATGATAAATTCGTTTATCGTGATCATTATTTTGTTACAAAAATTCAGAATCATTATAAGAAAAAAAATATTTGTCCGGATAACAAGTAGTCACATTTTTTTAATCGTATCATGATGACATTAAAGCCAAGGTTTAAAAAAAAGATACCTTCATTCTCTCGAAGAGTAAAACTTTAAAAAATGTAAATACATTTTTAAAATGACACTATTCTATTCTAACCCACATCAAGCATGTCAACAAAATGTTAATTTCAGGATTTGTCGTTCACTGAAGTCCACTCCAGGACATTTAGCGAGCTCATAGAGTGGCCTGCAGAGGTCAAGATAAACACGTCTAATCCAGACAAGTTTGTTATCGAGCTTTCGTGTCTCACTGGGCAAACGTATTAAACTGTTTGCATGGAAAATAAGCAACAGAATGGCTCATGTTTTCTTTTCCCGGCGTGTACTAAGAGCTTGAAGACTGTCCAGTGAGAAAGCCAATGGACTACTTTTTTTTGTAGGATAATATCATTTCCCTCTTACGCTGTCCTTTTCTTTTTTTTTTTTTTTTTTTTTTACTTTTGCCAAGCTACAGTATATAAATGCCTCTTTTGTTATCATGGGCCAAGTCGAATTTATGAAGTAATAGTTGGTCCCCGGTTAAAAATAAATACATATTACCATGAGAATAAAAAATTATAAATATATTAGGTAAATTCTGTATTACAAGAAAAGTAACTTTTTTTTTGGTATAGTGACAGATCGATCAATAGATGGCGTGCGGCAGATCCCATCGTCAACTGTGCATCCACTTTTTGTGAAAATTTTGTTTGTGTCCTAAGCTTTTTTTTTTTTTTTCCCCAAGCGTAGAATATGTCCTTGACTCAAAGATTTCTAAAGACCGTTATCGAAATTTCATGGCTGGAATGATTTGGCTGCAGCTGTTGCAAAAGCGCAATATAAATCAAGTAGTATTTTTTTTGTCAGACATTTTGGTCACGAGTGCATAAGTACAGAGAGTCATGACGTCATAGTTGTAGTCATACTGGCCTATTCTGTACCTATTCATAACGCTTGCTTTCTGTCTGGGTGATATAGGCTTCATTATTAAGGTTATTCTAGGATCCGTGCCTATTTTCAGCATGAGCTGCCAGTAGCACTTAGCAAGGAAAGTAGTACATACAGCACATTTGGACGAGCGCACAATAGATTTCTCCCGTGAAGTATAATTTGTGCCCGAGCCCCACGCTGAGTTTATTCCTCCATCCTGCACACTCCCACTAGATGACTGGGGACTGACTGCGCGTTGGCAGTCGTCTGTCTGGAACAACAATATCAACGTACAAAGGGACCTCTCGGTATTACACGTGCCGGAACAAAGGGCTTTCGCCGACATCTGTCAAGCATTCGCATGCTGTGCCTTCAAAGCTCTTTTCATGGCCTATTCTCACTATCGCGACAACCTCTGCATCCACGCTGCGACACCCCCTCCTTTCTCTGGTTCATACTGAAAGCAGAGGCAGAATAATATAATCTCTCTCTCTCTCTCTCTCTCTCTCTCTCTCTCTCTCTCTCTCTCTCTCTCTCTCTCTCTCTCTCTCTCTCTCTCTCTCTCTCTCTCTCTCTCTCTCCCTCTCTCTCCCGCCTCCCCCGCGCTCTGTCTTCCCGCGGCTTAGTCGATATGTTGGATTTCGACACGCGCGCGCGGCTAGATAATGCAAATGTTTCTATAAATAGGGGCAATAGTGCTGACAGTAGCAGTCTCCCAAAGTGCGATAGCTCGGCGGGATTCTCGCACACGCGCGCCAGCGCTTCATCATAGCGATAGTACCCGAGCAGCATATAAACACTTGAGCTGCAAAGCAAACACATCATAGATATGTGCTATAGGAGGCGCAAATAAAGGACTTGTCCGCACAAAGCGCAAACACGTCTTGAACAAACAGCACAAAAGCCTGCCGAGGGCTCGACGGCTCGCGCCGCGAGAGGCCTTTTGTGTCTCGGACAACAAAAGCACGTGTGCGGCGTCAGTGCACGTCAAACGAGAAAAAAAAATGACAAGCATTGCTGTGGCAGCTCATTTCATATTAAGTACAGTGGTGCCTTGACTTTGTTGCGGGACTAAGCTCATGTCAATTTTCCCTATGCCCTCTCCTAAAACAAAACAATTGGCCAATCTTCAGCTCAAACTCACTTCTCAGCAGAACAAATAGTTAACATCCCTTCCGAAAGAGGCCTCAAGCCATTTGTGACGCCGCTCTCTGTTGGACTGCCAAGCAAAACATGTGACGAGGAGAATTGTATCTTGTGCTTTTTAAAGCATTAAAAAGTGAGCTAGCATTGTGCTAAGGCTAACACAATGCGGAGCGCATATCTAACCCTACAAACAATGCAGCAACACATTTTAGAATAATTAGACAGACAGACTTGGAATTTTTTGGGGAGGCTGAAACGGATTATTGACATTGCCATTCAGTTCAACATGGAAAGATGGTTTGACTTGGATTTAAAGGTACCGCTGTATATTTATCAAGTGTTTTTCATAGACCTTTAGACTTTAAAACGGCATTGGCATGAAAGAACTCTCTTCAGGGTCATTCCGAACAAATCTCATGCTGTCTAGACACTTGAGCAAAGTGCAGTAAGATGGCGAGAAAGAGGACAGCAACTTTTGTCTCCTCCTCCTC